GAAAGTTTGGTACTTTATTTGTGTTTTCAGGAGAACACAAGCCGAATCAGACATCGATTGGAGACAGTATTCTATTGATCGTAGCGCTCTGTTTTCACTCTGTTTTCGAAGGGATAGATATTGGTATCTCAGAGACGAAATCAGATGCTTGGAGAGCTCTTTGGACAATAACTCTACACAAGATATTTGCAGCTATTGCAATGGGGATTGCTCTTCTTCGTATGATCCCTGACCGTCCTTTATTCTCATCGATCACGTATTCTTTCGCATTCGCTATATCGAGTCCAATCGGTGTTGCGATTGGAATAGTTATCGATGCGACGACTCAAGGGTCTGTTGCGGATTGGATTTATGCAGTGTCGATGAGCTTGGCTTGTGGAGTTTTTGTGTATGTTTCTGTGAACCATTTGTTGGCTAAAGGGTATGTACCGAACAAGAAGGTTTGTGTCGATGAGCCTCGTTATAAGTTTTTGGCTGTTTTGTTTGGAGTTGTTGTCATTGGCATTGTTATGATATGGGACACTTAGAAAGATAAAACAATTGTTTCAAAGTACGGATTTTAATTTTTTTTTAACAATTTGTAAAGAGAAGTTGTTGATCTATACAATGATTTTGGGTGTTTATGTCTGTAACAACTCGGTTTTGTTAGCATCATCAAGATAAACTTAAGGTTTGATTGAGTAAATCCCTTTTACTAAAACGCATTTTTCCGCGGAATTTATTTTCGAGTTTAAAACAAGCCAATCGCTGCTGTTTTACAAACCGCAAAATTTATTATCGGGTTGATTCCAAGTCTAATAGGGTTGTTTTGTTTCTTCGGGCCAAACCAATTGCGATTTAAAAAACGGGTTGAGTCCAATTCTAATCGGGTTGTTTTGTTTTCTTTCCGATTTCAATAACGCGTTTATCGGTTAACTAAATAAAATTAAACAAATTAATTTCATTTGGGTAATTGTAAAGAGACAGAAAATTGAAAATTGGTTTAACGATTGAAAAAATTGTGTTGTACAAAAAAAAAGCGACGTAACACTAAAACGGTGTGGATTAATAATGGGCCGACAATTTTTAGGTCTGGGCTTTAATTGGGCCTGTTTGTGTTGTGTTTGTCCCGCCACTCTCTGTAAAAACCAGAATACCCTTCGCATTTTGAAATTCCCCTTTCTCGGTCTCTGGAAGGTCGGAATCTTGTGGGTTTTGGATCGGAATTCGAAAATTTTCGAGGTGGGTTAGGGTTTTAGTATCAGGAATTTTTAAAAGGGTTCGATGAATTTGGGAGTTTTGAACAAGGTTTGGGAAATTAAAGCTTTGAAGAGAAAACCTAGAGAAGATGAAGCCATGAAGATTCTGGAAAAAGTAGCCAATCAGGTTCAACCGATTATGACTAGACGAACATGGCGTGTCAAGCTTCTCTCTGAATTCTGGTAATTATAGGGTTCCGATTTATAAAGGCGATCTCTTTCTCTCTGCGATTGTGATTGTGGAAGAATTATTAGGTTTTTAGG